GACACCGATGTTTTTCGCAAGACCTTTGGACAGCACACCTTCCATACCCTTCCAAGTATCGAGGTAATCTATGTTGCTCAATGCTTTGGAACCGTCAGGATTTCTAGGGAAAAGTTCTCCGCCCTCTTTGATTCCGAATGGCCAGTGAATTAAATAGAGATCTACGTAATCGAGACCGAGATCGGCTAGCGTTTCTTTGATGGATGGTTCAACCAGATTACGGCTATGAAAGGAATTCCATAGCTTGCTTGTAATAAACAGATTTTCTCTCTTCACGACACCCTCCGCTATTTTCGCCTGGATAGCGGCACCAACTTCCTTCTCGTTGCCATAAGCTTTAGCGCAGTCGATATGTCTGTAGCCGATATCAATGGCATCTTTTACAGCTTGTGTAACTTCTCCTGGTGTAGACTGAAATAAAAACGAATTAAATTAATATCTCTGACCATTTTTCTCAAGGGTCTCTCTTTCTCAAGAAAGATCTAGCGTGCAGGTCTAATCGCAAAAGTGCTAATATTTAATGTTATCTATGTATATTACGTTTCTCAAAAACAAACAGATAATAAAATTCTAATTATAAAATAAAAGAAGTTAAAATGTAAGCCCGGAAATTATTTCCTAGATTTCACAAATAATTTTAGGATTAAACATTATATTAAATTATGTGAAACATTACATAAAAACGTTCACGACAAACATTTTTCGCTAAAAAAGAGAACTTTGAAAAAAAAGTGCGTTTATTGAAGCAAATAAAAAATGGAAAATGTGGGCAAAGACTAAAGTGCATATATATATATATAATCAAACAACAAATAAAATGTATTGTAAAATAAAATACATGTCAAGAGCATTTATTAAATAGGTTTCTTTCTTCACTTTAAATATAATTTTTTCTCTCTTTGCCTTATTTAAAGTTCTCTCTTCTTTGAATTTTTGTATACTATGTACGGCACTGCCTGAAGTAATTAGCATAATTGCCTAACATTGCGCGTCTCAGCTCTATTATCTCCGCCATTTGATCTTCAGATGGTAAATATGCAGTATAGCGCCAACCTCTCCAATTTTGTCGAAACTTTTTTATTTTAATTGTGTATTTTGGGTCGAAAAAAGAATTCTGATAAGAAAAATTGTCGCTCATGTTCCGTTTGTTTATAATTAATATTCGTAATATTTCGATGTCGGTAAGTATAATAAGGAATTGACAATTTATGTATATATTTTTACTTTTTTATTAATACGCATGCGCAATAATCTTGCGCGCCTTGAGAATTTCCATCCACAAGGCGCACTTTGTTTGAAAGAATACAACATAATACATTTATATATTATGATTTGAAGTATTCTCTGCTTCAATCAAAAGCACAAATTGTTAACTGCTTTAATCACTTAAATTAAATCAAATAATAGCACAAAAACGCGAGAAAAACAAATATATCTAGTTTAAACTAAGGAAAAACTTGCCTTCCATGTGCCCAGACCCAAGATCGGCACTTCGTTGCCGTTGTAAAACTTCACTTTCGGTGCGCTGAGGACCATTTTTATGTGTCACTGGGACGTCGATAATTAAGGAAAAAAATACGCGTTCGAGAAAGTCTACACGATTGCTACGTGGAAACTATAGTCTGACGTCTGGATCAGCGATGCAAATGCTGGCACTGCTGCACACTGCTGTTGACAGTTTTGCTCCGACCCGTTCCTTTTATAAACGTTCCCACCTAGGAGGGTGGGATTCTCAACGGCAACAATACTACGACGTTTATGAGAGCGTTACTTCTGTAGGCGATGTATTATTCCTACGCGCTCAAGGATAGGCTCGTGCATGGTGCAAAGTCGATACTCGAATATATCGCGGTTATTGTTGCCTCTTTTTTCGCGATGCCGATTGGTGGTCTCGATTGCCGTCGCGCCGTGGGTTGCTTCATCGAAAAATTTCAGATAAGTTTCAAATAAGTTCTATAATATAATGTTTTTATTATAATTTTTTATATAATTTTTAATATTTTATTACAATATTTTACATAAGATACTTTGTGTTATCTTTTTATTTCAGTTATTAACGGTTTTCATGAATGTTGCTAACGATATATATGTTTTGTGTACAAATGTTTTGTGCACACAACGATAGTGAGTAGGTTACTAATTGTATAAAGTTATATAAAGATACGTATATAAAGAAAGAGAAATATTTAATATATGCATGGCCGACAATCTTGAAATCTGAGATGACGTTTGAGAATATTGAAAAGAGACGACAGCATATTATATACATGTTGGATATTTATTACTTCCACCATGATTATATACGTACGTATGCGCTCAGTGTAGACAGTGCGTTCAGTGCGCAAATTGAAAAAAAAATCAAAAAAGATAGAGAGAAAGAAAGAAAAGAAGACAGAGAGAAAAAGTGAGAGATAAAAGAGAGAGGTAAGCCTTAAAATAATAATTAAACTTATATTGGGCGTAACTCGTTTACGATGAAGATATGATGATAGCGTATTCGTTCGTAATTTTGTTATTCTTCGTGATTAAATATTGCAAATTTAAGTTAAAGATAAACAAGAGAAAAAGAAGGAGACAGAGAAAAAAGAGAAAAAGGGGGAGAGGGAAAGAGAGAGAGAGAATGAAAGGAAGAGGTAAGCCTTAAAATAATAATTAAACTTATGTTATGCGTAACTCGTCTACGATAAAGATCGATGATAGCGTGTTCGTTCGTAATTTTGTTATTGTTCGTGATTAAATATTGCAAATTTAAGTTAAAGATGAACAAGAGAAAAAGAAGGAGATAGAAAAAGAAAGAGAGAAAAGGAGAAAAAGAGAAAGAGAAAGAGAGGCAAATAAGCTTAAAATAATAATTAAATTTATATTGTGCGTATAACTCGTCTATGATGAAGATGATGATGGCGTGTTTGTTTGTAATACTTTTAATTCTTTGCAATTGGATATTGCAAAATTAAAGATGATGAACAAGAGGAAAAGAAAAAGACAGAAAAAGAAAGAGAAAAAAAAGAGAAAAAAGGGAGAGAGAGAAAGAGAGGCAGGTAAGCTTTAAAATAATAATCGCGACGTAAGCTGCAGGAACGGCGATTTTTATTTTCACCGTAACGCGAAACGCACTTGCAAAATAAAATCGCGATATTTATTTTTTTCTTCTTTTGCCGTTATAAACATGTCAATAACGACGATAACGTTGACTCTTATCTAACGACTATGATTATGTCGCGATCGAACATCTTCTGAGTCATCGAGAAGCGTTCGAACGTGGAATTTTACCGCATAAGATATGGGCCAGTGTACCAGAGGTACAGGTCCACGTAGTCGAGACCAAAGTTTTCCACGGATCTTCGGCAAGCCGGCACCACGTTTTCTCGTTTATGGAACGTGTTCCACAACTGACTATGATAGATTTTTTTAATTCTGTCGGGTTTCAGACGATGGGACAACCCGAATGTAACTTGGTAGTGATGAACAGATCCTCCCTCTTCACGACCCCTTTCGCGATCTTCTCGCGTAATATTATATACTTTGCCGATTTCCTTTTCAGTCTGATATATGTAAGCGCAATCAAAATGTCGATATTCAGCGTCAACAGCGTCATGTACTGCTTCCTCAACAACCTTCGGATCATCCTAAAACGAGATTAAATTAAGTAAACAGAATAAATCACCTTTACTTTGCCAGTCAAATAATAAACAACAAAATGGAAATATTAATCGACTCTACTGGCCATTATAATCGCCAAGACGACCACGATTTGATTCGATTATCGTCATGTAATCTTTGATACTTATATATAAACATCTCATTTAAATAATCAAATTTATTGCGAAAAATATTACCTCAGTCAGAGTTCGAACCTGGAATCTCCCTCATTCCATGGTGGGTGTCGTACCAATTCGACCACTGAGGCATGTGGTAATATTTATTCGAGATCATCGAAGTAATATAATGTTATAAATAAAATTGATCCTTAATTTTTAATTAATATAATAATGACCAAGCTCAATTGCACCTAATTTACTGATGACCTCTAAATCTTGTGTTCCTAATTCTGGCAACCAGATACCAGATGAACACATTACTGATAGTTTTTCTAACTAAACTTTTTATTCCCGACTGCTGCCGGCCGAAGGTTTGCACAACGGAGGGAATAGGTATTCGTTTCACCCAGATTATATTATAAAAAATTAATAATTTTTTTCATATATAAATATTTTTTTTCTTTAATTTTAATATTATTTTATCAAGAAAATGTATTACTGTGAGACTTACTGTTCAAATTTTGCCTATAATCGGTAATCTTTGCAGCTACTTACATCTACTTTACTAATAAAAATGGACGTAACTGAGCAGAAAAATGAGTTTCTCGAACTTTAAGTTTTTTTTTAAATTAGTGGATTAACTTTTAGTTTCAGTTTATTATTAGTAAAATAGAATGATTAATATATTAGCATCTTGTTATTATTATCGATAATACATTCTTATTTGATTCCTGAAGTCTAGACGTCTAGACTATTCATCATCGTATATAATCGACAATCTGAAGGTCAAATGGTGGAGATAACAGATGCGCAATGTTAGGCAATTATTTCAGGCAGTGCCATACATAGTATACAAAAATTCAAAGAAGAGAGAACTTTAAATAAGACAAAGAGAGAAAAAATTATATTTAAAGTGAAGAAAGAAACCTATTTAATAAATGCACTTGACATGTATTTTATTTTATAATACATTTTATTTGTTGTTTGATTACATATATATATACTTTAGTTTTTGCCCACATTTTCTATTTTTTATTTGCTTCAATAAGCAGTCTTTTTTTTCAAAGTTTTCTTTTTTAGCGAAAAATGTTTGTCGTGAACGTTTTTATGTAATGTTTCACTTATCATGTAATGGTGATGGTAATCCCTGGGTTCCGTAAAACGCATTATGTGTTTCATTCACATATATGTATATCTATTCGAGATCATCGAAGTAATATAATGTTTAATCCTAAAATTATTTGTGAAATCTAGGAAATAATTCCCGGGTTTACATTTTAACTTCTTTTATCTTATAATTAGAATTTTATTATCTGTTGGCTTTTGAGAAACGTAATATACATAATAGATAACATTAAATATTAGCACTTTTGCGATTAGACCTGCACGCTAGACCTTTCTTGAGAAAGAGAGTCCGACCCTTGAAAAAAATGGTCATAGATATTAATTTAATTCGTTTTTATTTCAGTCTAAACCAGGAGAAGTTACACAAGCTGTAAAAGATGCCATTGATATCGGCTACAG